TGTGTGTGTGTGTGTGTGTGTGTGTGTGTGTCGGGGAGGGGTTACACTTTACTTTTACCACCATGATAAATCCTTGTGTTCCGCCCATCACAGATTTCCAATGTTCATCTACCACACCCCTATCAACGACGTCTACGCCCTTCCCGTGCACGTCAACGGCTGCACCAAGATAGGAGTGGACGCCGGGGGAGCTGTGGTCTCGGGCGACAAAAGAACTTGGACACCGGACCCCAAACGGCTCGAGTTTCTACAGGACGTCTGCAAGAAAATTATACCGAAGGTAGGTAGACTTTTCAGGAGGGTGCTACTGGAAGATTCTTTATTGCTGGCAGTAATGTTCTGCTCACACACATTACCTTTGTTACCACCAGTTAATAAATGCACTTGCACTTGAAAAATCTTACTGCAGTACATCAAAACAGATACAAACTATTACCATCGGCCTACAATGGTCAACTACGCTGCGGCATTCACAAGTGCAAAGAACTATATTATTATTCAATCTAAATTAATCTAAAGACAGAGCTCACTTTAGCTAACTTTGGAAGGATAAAAAGTTTTTTTCATTTGATCTTTTTACCTTACACCACCGCCTCCTGCTTCTCCTGGATGGCCGTCTCCACCAAAACTTGGGCTCTCTAAAGGTCTTGTTGAGCCAATATCTTGGACTTAACTATTACGGTGTACTCTTTGCCAAAACTGAGCTCTGTTTGCTTTTTAACGTAAGTAATTTTACAGCACTTGAATCACAATTCGGTCATGTCAGTGCCGAAGATTAGAGGTGCTACAATAGAGTTACAAACAAAAAAAAGATGGAGGAGGAGGAGGGGGGGGATTAAACCTTTGATAGGAAAGATGGAGCAAACCGCACCAGAGCACTCGTCAACCATCCACTCCGAGCCCTGTGGTGGAGACTTCCTCGAGAATTATATGGAAATCTTTGACTCTCTTTGTTAGCTCGCGATGGATCAACAAGAAAACCTGCTGGCGCAGTTTGATCACATGGAATGCGTTGAACATGGTCACAACACTTTTCAAAATCTAATTACAGATTGAGAGAAGTACTTTCTCATGAAGGTCTGTGATCAGCTGCCTACAGACACACTGCAATGTCTTGGCATTCAGTCACGACAGCACTCTCACTCAACCATCTGAACACCTTTGCTTCCAGTGGGAGGAGAGGTCTTTAAAGGCACATCACACGTTCATTTGGACTGGCTAAGACTATCCTGTAGGTAATAGTATAAGGAGGGCGACGAGAGGGAACGTTGAGAAGACAATATCACAAAGTGGACTGACAGTGACTGGAACATCGTACTGCGGCATGCTGAGAACCGAGAGGATTGGGAAAAAGCTGGCTGCACAATTCTGCAATGGTAGGCTACTCAAAAGGTCAGACAGACTGTGGAATAGGTGAAGGCGAAAGTGAAAGTGAAGGTTAAGGTGAAAGTGAAGAGGAAGGAGAAGGTGAAGGTGAAGAGAGAAGTAATCCTTCTTATTCGGGTACATAGACGATATAGTACTGAAACTATGTTGCTTTGAACAGGAGTCTTTCAAAATGCATGTAGATATCCTGCTGGATTCTTGAAAAATCTGCTAGAGATGATAGCTCTGTGACCACTCCCAACGGTGTATACTGACTGTGTCACCCCATAAATTCCAGTCTGTGGGTCATCCTTCACATTTAACCCTACCCCCAATAGATCTATTGAGTCTCCATTTTGTCATACTGTAAATACATTCAGTCATAGCGTTATTCTGCATTTAATTTTTTTAAAGCGTTTTTCTGTACATGTACATCTCCTTTCTTTATTCCTTTCTAGCTTTGTGAGTTATTTCCTCCCTTGTCATCCACTTTTTATTAGCTTCTGAACTATCCATCCATACTAGCTAATTCCTCCATCCTTCCATCATTCCATCCATCCATCCATCCATCCATCCATTCATCCATCCATCCATCCATCCATCCATCCATCCATCC